ATTGGGGAGTTGGGTAAGGTGAAGAAGGCAACCAGACGGGCCTTGAGAAAGGAAGCAGGTAGTGAACGGCGAAAGAGAGGAGGACAAGCACGAAAAGCTCCGGCGAAGACAGAAATGTGTGAGAAGCAAGAGCAAGTAAGCTTCTTTCAAATTTTGGTGGATGCGATCAGACCATCGCACGTGGATTTGGGTGACTTTGAAGGGGATTTTTTTCAATGACGTTATTGCATGAGGAATGAACGTCTGTAAATTCCTTGTCCTCTTAATGGTCTAATCTGGCCTCACACTAACACTTCACTATCTGCCTGCACTTCTTCCCTCTACCATAAAGAACCACTCCTAGACTTTTGCTTTTTTTTGCAAACACACTGGAGTGGGCCCCGGTGCGGTTTTTAGAAACCACACCAGGGCCGACAATCTTCGTTGACACGGCCCGACCGAAAGTAGAGCAGAACTACAGATGACAAGTAGCTCAACCAATTTATTAAAGCAGTAGCGGAGTGTGTGTTGTGTACAGGATAGCAGATGCGTTTACATAGCTTTGCTAAGCATTGATCTCTGAACGCAGCTAGTTGTGTGGAGTTCATTCACGAATAATCGAATGAACTGTGTTCGCTTGTGTTTGCACACTGCGTTCGCCCACGATTGATAAATGTGCTCTCCACAACACCTCTACAAGCATTAACGCAATACCTTCGAAATATTGGGGTATGTTTGGACAATTCTCGTTTGCGAAAACTGGATTCTCAAGAGATAATTTCTGGGTTTAAAAAATGAAATTTAGCAAGTTTTACCGAGGTTAGTTGACTTGAGGTCTTCCTTTAATATTAGGTAAATATCTCCTAAGTACTCTTAAATCAATTGTGTACGTGAAAGAAAAGTAACAGTTGAAGATTGTGCAACTACTTTTACAGTAATAAAATGCCAGCTGAGATTATTAACACAAAATTGTTGACTCAGGAAATAAAGTCATTAATTCTAGTGATTTCCATGTCTGTGTGCACATCTATTGGTTGAATAATTCAATTCTATTCGTACAGCTTTAAACAGCCAGAAATCACTACGCAAAATTATTGATAGCTGTGGGCGACACTTAAAACACCACGTGAACTAAAACATTAATGGTGTAGCCGGTAATTAGGCGAAACTTGGTAAACCTGCAGTAAGCAATTAGTAAAAGCTTGTCTAAGAAACGCTTGTCTAAGATTGTTAGGGTGAGCCTTTTCAGAATATAGGGCTGTTACGTTTGCCCGTAACAATAGAGAAGACCACTCAAATAACGGTACCAGATCCCTTGCTGAAAGCTAGAACCGACCTTCCCAGGCTAATACCAGAACAAGACCAGAGCTCGTGTAGAGAGCTGTATTCACGTCAGCCACGTGCGGTGTGCAGTCCGGAAGTCGAACAAATTCAAGTCAGGTTGACCTTGACTTGATAAAAAGTGTAGCAAAACAAATGTTAGTGAATAACTGTAAATAGCATCAGAAACCAATCTTGGGGAATCGTGGATCCCCAACAAGGGCCGAGTGAAAGGAGGGGGTTAGATGAATTGGCTATGCGTGATGCGTGATTGTAAGGCACGTGAACATAATTTTGAGATAATACTGAAAAGGATGTTAATAATTTTGAGAATTCAATAAAAGTGTGAAATAAGCAATAGATACTAAACACCATGGGATCAAATATTTCGATAATGGTCTGTTGATTAAATTTTTACACCTGGCCAACTTTGACAGGCCTCACGGTTTTTCTCATTCTTACATCGTCACGCCTACCAAGAAAATATCACTTGGAAGTCGCATTTACATAGCTTATAAGTACAAATATCATTGCTCCTTGCTGCTCTAATGCAAGGGTGATTTAATAATGGATTAAATACTTATCATAAAAACAAAACGTCATAGGTAATAGGTAGCATTACTTCTAAATATATCAATAAAACCTACAAGTCCCGAGGCTTTGAGTTTAATCTCACTCATCATTGTCACCAAATACTTTACCGCTGCTGCATAAAGGCAATAAGATTTCAGACTTGCACGAGTCGATCCATAATCACATTAGTAAGTTGACACAAATTTTTGAATGCAAAAGAGTTCACACATGTGATAACCACAGGAAATGGAGAACCTTAATCGTGGCAGAGAATTTTTAATCATCTTGCAAAATAAATGTTTCAAGTTATATGCGACCAAATAGATCCCTATACCTTCCTTAAGAAATTCGAATTTAGCTAGGACATAAAAAAAGCAATCTGTAGTTTATTGTGAATTATTATTTTATTCAGTGCAGCCAAACGCGTTTGCATATAACGCATCATGAGCGCTAGTGAAAAATATGCATGATTCCTGCAAGATACAGTGCCAACCATATTATTTATTGCCAAAGATGCAAAACAACTTATAACTTAAGTTATACCAAACAGTAGGGCTTTATTTTAAAGTCAGTTTGTTTTACTCGAGATTGTTTACCTATCCAGCGGTTGTTTGACGTTTGTGGGTATGCCCCGTCGTTGTTCCATCTACATCAGGAATATACCTGATTCATGCAGGTATTGTGCTTTGTTTGATCGAAATTTTTGTAGACATGAAGATCTACGGCGTACATTCGGCCGTTTTGGCCCAGTTGTGGATGTTACCATACCAACCGACTATTATTCTGGTCGAATGAAGGGCTTTGCATTTGTTGAATATCCTTTTGTCTGAACTTTAGTGTAAATTTAAATTGATATCTTGTTCTGTCACTGTAGTAAACCATGCAAGTAAGTTAATGTTGGTATGGTAGAAAGCAAAATGAGTTCACATCCCACAACGGATTGCATCACATCTAGCCTTTTATTCTGAATTTTAACAATTATTCTGGAAAAAAGTGCGTAGACGTTGTCCACTCTTCCGTTTCCTAGTTGTGTTTTATTCTTACCCGTTTTTATTATAATGGTCTGTGTTGACAAATAGCTTGAATCCTCTTGGTACTCAGATGGTATTCCGTGAAGTTTCTAAATGTTACATTAATTCCTTAACACACTGGTTTGGCATGTACATTTGAGGACCCAAGAGATGCCGAGGACGCTCAACGCAGCATGGATCACAGTCGCTTCCTAGGTCGGCGCATTGAAGTCGAGTTTACTCGTGGTTATCGCAAAAGTAAGTGTTCCCTTCCTCTTCGTAAAGTCGTATTTTAGCTCCAGCTGAGATGCGGGATCGTACTGGGCGCCTCGACCGTCGGCGTTCCAGGTGAGCCATTTCAATGTATTGCGTAACTTTTCAATCGTTCCGTTTGTACATTAGTTCTCGTCCAACGTCTGTACTTTGATAGCCGGACTCGACATCGTTTAATGGTTGTCAGTCCAACTGGATATAAGTCGACGGGAAATGTGGGTCACGAGTCGGTTCCTATAAACCCATTCAAGACATCATTCCATTGATTATGTGCATTGAGTCGGCAAACGGGGCCATACACTTGTGTCATTTTGGCTTATTTTACAGATGTTTTATTTTACTCGGAGACCGCTATTTGCGAGACTCAATCTGCTGATTGTGTGGGTAAGAAAATTAGCGCAGCTGGTTCACATTTTGTTGTTTGCACTCCAGACGCTAAGTATTTTTTTACCGATGGTTTTGTTACCTGCTGTCTATCGGTAAACGTAGCGCTGCTATCGTTACATTGCATTAAACTCCAGTCTTTTTCAATATTTGTTGTCTTTATGGCCTGTACATGTTAGTACCTTTGCTTAAACTTCTCATCCATGTTTTATAGGTCCGGTTCCCGTCAGTATTCTCGTCGCTCGCGGAGTTACTCGAGAGGGAGTAACCGTGACCAAAGGGATTTCGAAAGGCTCTCCCGTTCTCGTTCAAGGTCCCCACGTAACGGTTCCTCCACAAGCCGACTAAGGTCCAACGGGGATTATGACGCCCGTGATGATTCTCGTATGTCGCCACGAGAAATGAGCGGTGAGGACCGGTATCACCGTCACCGTCGGGGTCGATCTGGTTCTCCACGCTCACGTTCTGCCACTTAGACCGGAAATCACATGCTCTTATCTATGTACAGATTACCCATTACTGTATTGTTTGTAAAAATATATTTTAGATGTTAAGTAATAAGTTTATTTTGTCCACCGAGTCCCAGTTTGTGTATGATGCTTGTGGCTTCCATCCCCTAAGCCACACGCAGTCGATTGTCAAGGTTAGCCAAGTCCCAAGGTTGTTTTTTGATCTACGACTATTAACGCTTACACAACCGTCTTAGCTTCCTGGATCGTCAAGGTCCGCAGCATCAAGTAGATTCGTCGCGGTGTTTTGAATTGATTCTGTTTTCTACTGCAATCGCTGGCATTAATGTCATCGAATGCTTTAGAATGTCGCTCGATCCATGGGAACGATGTTACCTACTCTGAGAGGCTAATCTAGATATAAACCGTAGACTTCTGATTCATGTTCATTTGACTTGCTCACGCATCTAACACTGGGTGGACAAATTTGCGCTTTTCGGCATTATTTTCGCCTTTCTATGTCCCAAAAATGGGAACGCTACATCCGACCTATTCATTAAGCCTCGAATAATTCGTGTCGCTCGCTTAATTCGAGGCGACGACAGTAACAGCACATTTCTGAGACCCACGCAATTGCTGTTAATTGTGATAAAGTTAAGCTTAGCCTGATAGGATTAATCAACAATGCATGCAGATTTCACTGTGTAGACCACAGTATGCCCGCTGATAGCTAGGTACTTTGTGTCTAACTTATCGCACTAATATATCGGCATGTGGGTCGTTATAATTCATGCCCACGAGCACCGAAGTCGCATGTCTAGTGATCTGCGTGTCTGCTCAGTTCCTATTGGTTGTGCGGACACGTATAAGTCTGCATCCTGTCCTCTCGCGCGCACGTCTGAGACTCACAAGCACACAAGGCCATCAAACAAGTCGTCGGCGGTACCAATGTGTGTGGGGGGGGGGATTGATAAGCGCCTAAGAAACACTTATTGAACCAGAAAGCCAGTAAAAGTTGCCTTCACCACCCACACTGCGAGTGGATGAGAGCGACAATGCCCTCCGATTCCTTGCGAAAGGCATCTTCGGAGCCAGTGAGCCGTCGGAATTTCACGCCCTGCTCGCTGCATACCTGCAGCTCGATTGCAAGGGGTTCTCGCGACTCCACAGCGTCGATGTCTGTCTCCATAGGCCACGTCAAAGTTAAGCGGTCATCCCCTACTCTCTGGGGCGTCAGTCCGGCCTGCTGCAGGGCACTCAGAATCTGCTGCACCGTGTCTTGTGACGTCGACGGCCTCATTGATTGTGGTCGTTGTTTCGCCCTGCGTGTTCTTGCGCCGGTTATTGGATTGTCCCCTTTTTCGTCAGCATATCCCTCACTGTTTGTTCGATTACGACCGCTTAGAGGTTTGTCATAGTTCCTGCGGTGGTGGGAGGGCAGAAACACCTCTCTCAGACGACGTCCCAGATGGTCAAAATTAACGCTTTCTGATAGACTGCTGCGTCTTGTCGGCAGGGAACGGTACACACTTTGAGCGAACCTAGTTAGACTGCGAGATATTCTACTCGAGGCAATAGAACGCCTTGCTTGGTTTGTTAGTTGTCGTAGCGATCGATCCATTTGTACGTTTCCTGTTGTTTTGAATTTGAATTCTCCACAGCCTAATTTCCAATCCGGCCGACTAAAGTATATTGCTACTTATTACTTGCAAGTAAGATGTTTGTAGTGTATTCTAAATGGCTTTTGATTATCACCCTCGTTGCTGCAAAAGTGCACTTACTGTCAATCAACAGTTCTGTTTGTGGATATTTACTAAAACCACCAACACGCTATAAGTATTTTACCCACGGGGCAGGAAAATGTCACTTCACATTTGACCACATTTTGAGATTGTCACTTTGGTAAAGGAGCCAGTTTTAAGAAGTAGAGGTCGTGCCGGTATTTTGGGCTTAGCTAGCTTTTGCCTTCTGACCCGAGGTGACTACGCTGAACTCTTTCTGCAGTTGGTGCTTCTTCCGTAGCCTGGCATCCTCCCCAAGTCAGATGTCGTCGTGGCTGATGGCTCTAAGCACCATCAAGCGGCAACTGCGTTTAATGGTTAATCTCCAAACTCTTCTGCTTAAATGTCCTACCAGGTCACCGGGCCAATTGCTTTCCCCTTTGCTACCAGCTGTTTTTTCTTAATGTGCATAGCTGAAAGACAGCCAGACGAGTGTTGGTTTATGTCACAGTGGGGAACACACCACGAGTGGTCCTGTCACGTAATGGCTGTGTGCACGAGTCCTCGCCTCCCCTGTGTGGACCCCGTGCTTCCATAAAGCGTGGGTGGGCGCACAGTGGAACCGTCCTGTCCAACCCACACCAGTTTCCGGTGTTCCTATGCGTTGCCAATTGGGCAATCCGAGGGATGAGTCAGTGAGGCACTGTGCCTCTCGGAACCTAAGTTACTGTTTACTAGGGGCACAGCGCGTTGTCAAAATCGGGTGTTTATAAGTTGGGAGTGAGAACAAAATGCCAGCCTCGTAGTCCTTCTGTTAAAGCGTTCACAAGTTTCCAGCTGGATTCCGACACAAAGGCAAACTGACTTCAAGCCGTGTCAAAAAGTGCCATACAAGATTTATGTCTGGCAGGCGGGCGCTTGAAGGTGGCGCGGATTAATTAATCTTAGCGCTGAATTGACGGCCAAATTTTTCGCAGTGGGCTTTAAAGGAGGTGTTTAAATCTCTGGGTGTGCCTTTCGTCTTCCGCATGCCCCTCAACGTGGAGCGGCTCCGCGCGCAACGTGTGGATCCCTGGGTCGATTCCCGTCTGCTGTCTGCCTGCACGTCTGTGGGGATTTGAAATGCAAGGGAAATAACATGCATCGCTTGCAGTACGGCAATAACACTGATTTGTCGACAAAAATCCTTGCGTTAGATGTGTTTAAAACAGTTCTGGAATGTTCTTACGAGCAATAAAAAGACACACAATCCTTTGTTTATTTTTATACTTTTATACTCCTAGTCACACATTACAACTGTGCGCATCAGTTGATACACATTGCCACGTATAACAAGCGGATTTTGTGTGATCCAGTCTTCATTACATTCCGCTATGTTCTCTAATTGTATTAGTGATAACGAATAACAGGACCATAAAACAGTCTTGCTCATTCCTGCGAATCCAGTATCTGTGCTGTATTTATTCTTGCAAATTCTTGTACTGCCTGTCTGCCTTTTGTGTACTTTAGTAAATTTAAACATCCGCGTTCGGCTGCTGTTTACATCATCCTGGTGAAAAATTCTCCACTGAATTTGCGCATTGCTTGAAGTGGGGACCTGTCAGGCAGTTGATTCATGCTACAAAGACTCACCTAAAAGCCTCGCCCCATTACACCAACCGATTTTGACTCTGCCTAATACGAGGACACTAATTTGGCTAACATTTCTATATTCAGTCGGTCAAACGGTGTCAATGGGGCTAATTTAAGGAAGCACCGTATGTTTCCTTTTTTAACCCAAATTTATTTTTATTTAAATAAACCTTAAGACAGCTTTTAAACCGCTTACACAAACCCCCTCCCCCTACTTGATGAACAATTAAATTATTTGTTCCTCATGCAAGACTTGGCGGTAATTGGCAAACCAGCCACGTTTTATTGCGTTAAGCGGGTTTTATTGGGTACACTGGATTCCACGATGCCGGTTGATGTGACCATGACTCTTAACAGGGTGAACTTGAAGCAAATTTTGAAGTTAAGTGTGATTGTAAAATCACTGAATTCCTATATGGGCCGTTCGGACGGTAAGTGTCGATTGGCTGCTTGTATCTCAATTGGAGTACGATTTAGCCAATCGTATTTAGCCATTTTTGAATGTCACCTGCTGGATATCTGGAAGGAGGATTATTTCAGTTCATTCAAAGCCGCAGATTGTTCTCAGTTGGTTTCACACTAATTGCAAAATCTCATGTTATCCTCTTCCTGATATTGTGAAAGGGTTTTGTAGTACTTGTAAAGAGCACTTAGTAGTAGTAGGCTGTGGTTCCACGAGCAGGCCGTCTTAAATTCAAGCTAACTGCCTGTGGTTCAGTTCGGCAGAGTTTGCTTGGTGTGTGGGTCTGACTTTAAACCACCACAACTCAGCTCTACAAATGTGCTCAGCTGCTCAGAAGCAGAGGAACCAAATTAGACTCCAAACAGCACTCTGTGCGATTTCAGAATCCTCCCATCACAAATGTTGAGCACTGATTGGTTTGGCATAAGTCGAGGCTATGCCGTAACCCTCAATGGGCGTAGCCAATTAGGCACAGATTGGGGTAGTTGACGTTTCAGGAACTGAGCTAACGGCGAGTGACAATTAATTAGGGGACTTTCAAAATTTTCCCGAAAGGTGTTTTAACATTTCAAAGTCAGGTCTAGATACAAAAACAGCAGCATAATTGGTAGCTTTGGAGTCGACGTAGGCAACATCGAAAAAGGCACTTTCCTTTCCTCTCAAACCACTTTTCAGGTCAAAATCCCATTTCCTGTGTCCGTACTTCCTCTGGTTCTGTTGCGTAAGCCCACTTATTCAAACTGTCTCACAACTCAAAATTGGCACTATAATCTACCTGCCAAATATCTTCAAAGTCCACGATCGTTGGTTTTTGGCACTATTTACACAAATTCCTTAACATGTGTTTATTACGCATGCATCAGGTCAAGGTCAACCTTCACCTGAATTTGTTTTACTTTTGACAACTCACTCCGCACGTGGCTGACGTAATTAAAGCTTTCTACATGATCTCTGGTCATGTTCTTGTAGTGGCGTGGGACGGTCGGTGCTAGCGTCAACAAGGGATCTGGTACCCTTATTTGAGTGGTTTTCCCTTTGCTACGGGCAAACGTAACACGAGCATCCTCAAATTCCACGATCTAAATATTTACAATCTGCTGGAAGCCATTTTGCAGTCCACTTTTTGACAAATTCACGCATCAAATAGCACAGTTGGTAAATTACGCGGTCATGCTGACTGGCGTAGAGGCTTCCTGCTGTCTTTAATCTCAAATATTCATTTCTTTGCGTTTAAAATGTTCTTTTTAAATATGCGTGTAATGCTGCCGAAAGTTTTTAGTGTCTGGGCTAGAAACAATATGGCTCCTGCGCACTTACAGTGTTTAATAATTAAAGCGTGGTAACCAACGGCGCAACGGGTTTAGTGGCAAAGTATTCAAAACAGTCTCATTGTTTGGGCTAATGTCTATGTGTTCTGGGGTTGTTGTGGGCCCCAGCATGCGGTCTTGAACCATGCCGGGGCCGCGGAATTAACCCAGGCCTGATTACGCTTGCCTGATGCCTGCGATGAAGAAAACGATCGGAGAGGACGTGGACACAACCGTTTACACCAAAGCTCAGCCAGGTTGGTGTCGTTGTGTCGTGTGTGGGGTTCGTGCGTGTGTATTTATACCTGGGATGTGTGATCTAACATCGAGACCTATGTGTGAGGATAATCTAAGATAAATAGTGTGAATAAGGGGGGTTGAGGATTCGCGCGGCTAACGACATGCTGCGACAAAAGGAAATTTGTGTAGGAGGTGGAGCGACCGGATTAAGGGGTTGAATAAACAGGATTCACGACAGGGTCTTGTGAGGATTGACTCAACTCCTCAGGTTCTCATTTCGGCTAACATTGCATCAGTAGAGATTAAATCGACATTGTGTGAACCATGGTCAAGGTACAGCGAGCCGTCAGGACTTGACGAACTGCTAAAGCCCTAGTTCCTTCTTTAATGCCTAGTCTTGGTCGACCTACTGATCTCTATTATCACAAAGTTGAAAGTAAGGCCAGGTTTTCATATATCGTGACATGTTAGTGCTTAGAAACATCCACGTAGAAGAACTGCAAGTGATTAAGGGCCACGAATTTCCATCACACTGTTTGTGGAGACCCCATGGAACAGTAGGCTTACAAGCTCCATAAAGTAAACAGGCATTAATGTTGTGGGGAAAACGAATATGAAAAGTTTTTAGATAGGATTAGAGGATTTAACAAAATGCAAGTTATTCTGACGTTACACTGCTTCAAGGACTGACGTCACCTCACCTAATAGAGGTTCGCTGATCATTCTACATTCTCCAACATTCCTGGCAACCTTTGTTCAGTTTACTGCGCAAGAATCAGTCTGATTATTCCATTCATTAGCGGTGATTATACATGCACTTGATCCGAATAAAGCATTTACATTTTACCTGACTGCATGTTACAGGTACTTAAGTACCATTCCATATTAATTAACTTCACTAAAGTTGTGGTAGTTTAGTGAGAAAGCAGGTGACTTTACCCACTATTGAGTTAAAAACCAATTAGATTTACGCCATGAAACTCTCGATTCGCACTAATTCAATTTGGCGCAAAACGCTAATCCAGCGCGAATTCAATTTTATTGATTTTCCTTTGGTCAGTTATGCATTCGCGATTTTAACTTTTGCAGCAAAACCTCGGCATAAAAAGCGACACTAACCAAATTTCAGATAATTTTTAAATTAGAGGTTACTAAATAAGGCTAGTCCATTAGTTCGTTTGTTAAAACTGGAGTGGAGTGATTTAGCCTAGTGAGTGAATGGAAAAGTAAGCTTTGTCAAAAACGTAACACTCATTAG